AACTCGACACTCCATGTTAGTGTATGTTGAAACATCCAGATCTTTGAACTGGTCATGGGTGGAAAACATTGACTCGGATCCCCATACGGAACATTGATCTCGTTTGACACACTATGCATGTCCTAGCTGGATACGTCATAACATTAGCGCAACTAATAATGTATGGGTTGAGTTGAGTTGATAAATCATCGCCAGATTCAAACACCTCCATACCATCAATACCAAATGCATCCATCGACGCGCTGGATGAGATCTGGTTCAAGTCATTGATGTCACTGGTGTCACTGATGTCGCGATAATGTAGTGCCCTCGACGATTCAAACCAAGGCATTTGCTGTTTGACAGTATGTATGTAATGACTTGTTTGCTGCCAACTTTGAATACGAGTATGTCAGAGTGAACTGGGATTGCATTTGATGTTCCATGTGTACGACTAGGTACTGCACAATATGTTTACAATGATGTGGTGCTAGATAATCGTGTCAATGGTGTCAATGACTCAATAGTTGATGCTGGAATGGGTGTAATACATGGCCACTGATCATGTCTATACACAGATACTCGTTTTACAGGAAATGGTATGGTAGGAGCACATTCAACTGTGGCATGGCTCTGCATCAGCACCATTCATTTTAGGATATGTTTGAAATGACATTGATTAATGTTTAAAATGGGTTGATGCATCTAAACTAGCTTTGAAATCAATTTATGGAACTTCACGCTAATGCATTATGAATAGCCTGCGACCATGATGAATCTAAAATCATTAGTATCGACTTGTTTGGGTAAATGATGAGCAGATTTGTATGAATTGGCCAATACTGAATTCTGAGACTGTCAAGTTACATTTTAATGATACAACAGCCTACCCAACAAGCCAATACTGGGTTGAATCCAATTTAATCCAATCCGATTTAATTTAATCCAATCCAATTTAATCCAATGATCTGATTTTGAAATTGCGCGGGTTGCACGAGTTGCCAAATTCAGCAAGTTGTGGCTAAAGAAATGTAAATGGCAATATTATGGTCTTGCATCATCTTGGCAATGGTAACTGTCCAACAAAGCTGTCTTGTTCATATGGGGTTGTATTTTACTTGGCTATCATCAAACTACTTTGAACTGTTGTGTATTTGGAATGAAGCATGGTCGACTATACTCTTTGATATGTAGATCTACATTTTATAGTGAGTTGGAGCACATGAGGTTGGTCAGTGGTGAGTGTTGATGTTGCCAGCCTTTCAAAGCTATCAGAAAAACAGTGACTAGGTCCGTTTCCATATCCAATTCAACTGTCGACAATGCACACATCGGTTGCTCGTATACTATGACTTGCTATTGAACCAAATCCAACGATTTATTCAAAATTCAATGATTTGATAATCCATCAGCAGTAAGTTGAAAGGACAGGTTTCTACCAATGCCATAATATCACCAGTGTTGAGTTGATGACATATATGTTATGGGTATATCAGATGAAGAGAGTATTTTGATATTAGCGTGCTTGATTTTCCAGTCAAACAGAATAACAGACATTTGTATTTTCAGTATATTTGATCCATGCAATGAATACCAAACAGACATTTACGTGGGTTGTATTTACTAACCTAGTGTATTGATTAGATCCAGTAGTACTATTTTGATTTTAGCAATGCATGAAACCTTGTTTGTCTGGTATGCATTACCAATGTATTTTAGGTAGTAGTGAAGAGTTGCAGTTCAGACGCGTAAAAATGTGCAGATTTGTGTAGATTGACTGACTGGATCTGTGTATACCATCAATGTGTTGCACAGATTATACGGAAGATGTGTGGATATACTTGCTCATGTAAACTAGCTGAACCGGGTGTCACTGCGTTCAAGACTACTTGAGCAGCTTGTATTCGATGCAGTTGGAGTATCATGCAATAATCGTGTGAACAGACTCGTCACTACAGTCATACACAACCATCAACCACTACAGTCGTACTAGACGTCTACAAGTATGAACATGCAGTGTGTTTGGTTACTATTCAATCGAGTAGATCTTGGTCACTATCCAATCGAGTAGATCTGCCTATCACATATACAGTCAGACAGACAGACAGATACAATACATGACCACATTACAGCATACGGTTGGCATAGTTGTATGAGATGGTTGTGCAGTATCAACTGCAGTACAAACGAATCTAATATCATCAGCCATGACCGCTGCAGGAGTTGTCAGCAGCACAGCATTACGCATTGTCCATCGTACATGGATTGACTATTGGGAACGTTCACCGCACTACCCAGCCACCCCACACACTTCAAGCTGGCACATAGATCCCCGATCCGTCAGAGTCGGAGGGATGATGATGATATGGTCCAATCAACTCAAAGTATTATGTGTTGATGCATTAATGCAGCTAGTTTGTGTTGCTCGATTCCACGAGGTCGATGCGTGCGGAGTCTGGGATTCAAGGTAAAATAACGAATTAATTGATGATAGTTTGATTATTACGGGACGTTTTTGCAATGTATTTGATTATTACGTGCTGAGAGTTTGGCTTGTCGGGGATTCGCATGTCAATTGTTTCAGTTAAATAATGCATCGTTTGTCCAGATCCGACACCATTATTAGTTGTTGATCAAGATCTTACTTGCCTATCTACCTATTGATCCAAAACTCGCTTGTTTACCTACCTATTGATCCAAATCTCAGATCTGATTGTTTCCCTTGTGTATTTTGTTAAACAGTCATACACACTACTTGTTTGAACGTATTAGTTTGCAGCAACTATTGCAACTATTACAACTGCTACCCATATTATTGTTATCAAGTTTCGAGATCAACTCGTTTTACATTTTCATTTCCTGACACCCTACAACACCAATAATGAGTTCACTGTGGTCCTGTCTCAACATCCTATCGGCTGATTATCCAAAACAGTCTTGCCGTAGTGTGAAAAACACTATTCCCCAACCAACCAATACTTGTGAAAATGCACCACACCTTGCCGAAGCAAGCATGAATCCAGAAAGGTATGCAGCACAGTATTTGTATTATAGTTGTGCATCTGAATATTGTATTTTGGTTACACAACACATTGCTAACATGACTGTTTACTTGCATGTGTATTATTTACGATTTGATGATTGCATTTACGGTATTTTGGGATGGACTCGAACCGTTGCCGAATTTAATTTTGTTGATTCGACTACGCGACTTTGATGGTAATGATTTTGACTGTTTTTGCTTTATCTAATGTCATTGAACGTCATTCGATCACTATCAATTGTGATTTGTGTTGGTTGGTATGATGTACTGGTTGATTA